TGAGTGCTGCAGCCCCTCGGAAGGAGAATGTCACCACAGCTAACAATTGCTCCTGCAGTCACCCCGCACCCCGACACAGCAGTCGGATACGTCCTGATCACTCGTTGGCAAAAATTCAAAAGACCTAAAGGGACAGTTCATTCAGTAAAAGCTTTAATAGCTAAAGGCCGAAACACCTCGGATATCCCAAGTCCTGGAGGACCCGAGGAGTGTTGATTCTTTGGCATGGCGGAGGGGGACACGGAGTCTGGGTCTGTGCTGTTAATAAAAGCCCACAGTCCTAGGCCGAAGCAGACTTGCTACATGTTTGTTAAATCGGTCACCCTACTGAGAATCCTGGGTTAGAAAGCAAGGAAGTCCCTGAAGACCACGAAGCTGGACGCGGGAGCCACTGCGGTCACGTCCCACTGCCCGAGGGGGCATCGCCAGGCTCCTTAAGAGCAGTAATAACAACAACGGATGCAACCATCAAACGTTTAAATCCATGAGCTAATGATCCCTTTGAAACTAAACTTCATTGACTTAGGAGGATATGGGGGGCAGACGTCACTGAAAACTAGAGCATCAAGGAAGATTTTCTCCTACCTCTCCTCGAGAACGACACAGGGCAACAGTCGCTGGTGTCGGGGACGGCTCACACCACACAGCAGTGAGCCGGAGACTGGGTGTTCCTGGTGCCAGCAGCACTGGGCAGAGCCTGATTGTCGAGCCTGTCCCTCCCAAAGCAGAGGCTGAGGTGGGGGCATGTGCGAGGGTGTTTATTTTGTGAGACATCCTGAGTAGTAGGCGTGGGGGTGGGCAGAGGGAAAGCAGGAAGGAGGTGAAGCCCCCCTGGAGGCCGTTTGTTACTGGAGTGGGCCCCTCTGGGGGTTCTGTCCCACTGGAGACCAGGAGGAGCCTTGGAGGGCGTGTGCCTCATGTCCCCCCAGTCAGTATGGTCCACCCAGGGGTTGCCCCAGGGGGGTGAACTCGCCCCCGCTTCAGGTGTGTGGGCAGCGAGGCAGGAACCAGGGAACAGAAACCCAAACAAGCCCAATGCGCTGAGAACGCATTTCTCTCGGGGAGGCCTCCCCAGGGCCCTGGCCCCCAAGTGTGATGATGGGGCTCACCGGGGCTGGGGTGAGCACATGCTTCTCCAGCCCACAAAACTTCAAAGTGTAGCCTGCCTCGAACGTTTAGGGATAATGTAGCTGTTTGGCTGGCTTTTCAAAACTCGCGCTTCAGAGACATCCCCCGCCACATTTTCGCCTCTGGCACCACTGGCCACGTCAGCTTAGTCTGCCGCGTGGTTACTTTTCTCAATCGTCTAGGTCGTGGGAACACACGTGGGAGCATACAGGACAGTCTCAGAAACAGCGAAGGCTGTCCGTTTAGGTAAGTGGAGCAACACTTTGGAAGTTAAAATAAAAACACTAGAGCTCGAGGCCATGTGAACAGCGTTACCTGCCGTCACGCCGGGGAAGCAGCCTGGCGCAAGTGTCCAGAACCACTTCCTGAGGGGCTCACAGGTTTGGGGCTGGGGGACCCCTGGGGCTGAAAAGCTGCCCCGCTGGGCGAATTCGGAAGCCCTGCTGCTCTTCGCACGCCGTTGGGGGGCAGCTCTGCCTGGCGGTGTTTTCTTACACATACGAAAGCCTCTGCCAGGTCGCTCGCCCTGGCAGGGGCAGTAGGCACTGCCGCCCCACCGCCCAGCTTAGGGAGCCCCCAGGGTTGCGTTTCTAAAAGTCGCACAGTGAATCTTGACCCTCCAGACAATCATCCGAGTTCCACAGTCAAGTTCGGGGAGTCTAACCCTCCAGAAATACTGAAATGGGACTGACCGGCCCACCTCTGAGTGGTCCACAGGCGTGGGACCTACCGCCTGGGGGGCGGGGGCAGCACCTGTAGACGGAGTAGGCCAGGGGGGCCCGGCAAGGCCTCTGGGAGCTGACCGTGTCATGAAGGGGCCCTGGGGCCTGTTCCGATCCTCACCAGGAACCAGAGTGAACAACATGACCAATCCTTGCTACTCTGCCAAAATGACACTGATGTCGGAGCCTCGGGGGGTCTCTTGGGGCTCTGGTCACCCACACCCACAGGGCTGACGTCATGTCACTCATTTAATGAGCCGACAAGACAGCCAGGCTTGGTAGGGGTGTCACTGACATCCCCCACGGTCCCCTGTCCCCACTTTGGTCCCACCAGGGGTCACCGCAGTGCCCACCATTGCACAACTCGACCTACTCCTTGTCCCCAGACCGGGTGGCCCCGCTGAGAGACATGGTCTGCCCTGAGCCGCTCTCCCGTCTTCCTTGTCCAGGCTGCTCCCGAGGGCAGGGCTGGTGTCTCCAGATCCTCCAGCAGCACATGAAAGGGCATGGATGGAGCGTGTGTTCCCTGATGAGGGTTGTGTGGCTAAGTGACTCTGGTGGCTCCTGGGGCCTCGGGGCCTCGGAGATTTTTCACGTGGAGACACTGGTGGAGGAGGCGGCCGAAGGTCTGCACAGGGTGTTCGGGAACAGGTAGCACAGGTGCCAGGGAGGACAGCCCTCCCGACCAGCGAGAGAGGCAGGCGCTCGGGGCGGGGGCATCTCTCACCAACTGGGCCCCACAGCGCTGGTGGTCGACTGGCTTAGTGGGGGGACCTGGGCGGGGAGCCTCCCAGGTAGATGTCTTGGTCAGAGATGGTTATGGAGAGACACATTAGCAAACTAGAATGCGGCACGGTCCTCCGCCAGCCCCAGGCTGCCCTGCGCTCCAGGGCCGCAGGGCCAGGTGGCACTGCGTGGACACCTGTGCAAGGTGGCAGAGCTGTGTGCGCTGCCCCTGCTCCGTGGTGAGACCGCTGCAGAGACGGGGGCCAGGGGGACACCGTGCAGAGCAGCGGACGCGCCCTTTCCTCCTGTGCTGTTTGGTCGCCACCTTTGCCTGGGCTTGTGTCAGGCCACCAACAATCCCCAAACTGCTTGCAAAGTGAGCATCATGGTCCTGGCCTTGGAGCTCGGCCGTGACTTTCCTGGTGGGCACCCTTCAGGGACCTCAGGTGTGAGAGGGGGACCAAAGCACTGAGGGGCCCTAAAGGCAACGGCCGTCTCCGGGAGGCACGTGCTGCTCGCCCCTCGCGGGCCCTTGGGTCGTGGTCTCGCGCAGCCTCTCCCAGCACACCTCCAGGGAGGGCCTCTCCCACGAAGACGGTGACTGGGCTCTGAGTTTGACAGCACAGCTGAGGACACGCCGGCCTGCCTCCCTGCCCGGCCTCAGCAGCAGCCTCCATTTTCAGCCGCTGGCACCTCAAGAACTTGGTGAGTGTCCCTCTGAAATCTGTCGTGAGTGTTCACTTTTCCAGGAAGCACAGGGAACGCGGCTATAACAGGCAGGATGGTGCTATGTCATCAGCCCCTGAGGCTCCTCTGGGCTGTTTCCTGTGGGCAGCGCCCCCACCCTGCCCTGGGGTGGCCGGAACCAGCCCCACCCACGGGCTTGCTGCCACTGCAGGGACAGAAGAGCTGGAAGTCGCCTTCCTTGCTGCAGGCGGGCAGGTGCGGGCGGGAGGGCCGGCGCTGCCCACAGCGGTCTGTGGCGCCGAAGCCCCGTGTGCGTGCGCGAGCCTGGGAGAAGCGGCCGCAGCGCGGCTTCCGCCCCTCCCCCCACCAGGTACCTGGGCTGTCCCAGTCCCCAGTCCAAGGTCTGTGAGCGGCGGTGGAACCTCCGGAGTGGTCATCCGCTGGCCGTCCTGCTCACTCGGGGGCTAGGAGGACGAGTAGGGCCCTGGCAGGGCCCTGGCGATTCAGTGCAGAACCGTCCGGAACAACCCCGAGCGCTGGCGCCACGGGGCGGCCCCTACACGCCCCCAACCCCATCCGGGGCTGCGCCCCAGGCCGGCGCCCCGGGGGACACCCCTGCTCACACACTCACTTCCACACCCACACCCACTCACGCTCACTCTTACACACTCCCACAGACAGCATTTCGCGTCAGCTGCCGAAGTCGTCTAGTGAAAAAACAATAAATACGGAAAAATTCCCAAAAATGAGCGCAGAAGTTCCCCTTCTGCCCAGACGTAACGCGCCGCTTTAACGGAAGGCACCGGCGCGGCGCGGCGGCGGTCCTGGCCGTTGTCCCCCGTCTTTGTCCCCAACAGTCCCGCGCTCTCTTCCAGCGCAGGTGGTTGCAGGAGGAGAGGGCGTCGGGCGACTCCGCACAGGAAACTCCAGTTCCTTGTCTGCCGCTCGAGACAAAATAGGATGCTCTACTTCGGGCCGTTTCCAGGTCACTGTCAGGAAAGTTTGTCTAATACAAACGTGATTTTACAGAAGTTTTTAAATATCTGTGAGATACGCGCAAATCGGATCGAGGCATCGGTTATAACGCTGTACCAACAACAACAAAGACAAAAACTGCAAAATAAAACTTAGGAACACAGCGAGAAGCCGGACTCGCCCTGCGCCAGGAACGGCAGGGGCGCGTCTGAGATCCCCGCCCTGCGCGCGCGCGCCCCAGCGGACCCCAGGCCATCTAGGAGAGGTAATACAGGCCGTAGGCGGTGACAGGAGCGGCGAGAAGTCCCTGCACCTGTGGCAAGGTGCCCGCGGCGCCGCCAAAGGTGGCTGGGGAGCCGTGCAGGTGGGCGCCCAGGGGGAGGGGCAGGGCGAACGCGGGCAGCAACGGCTTCGCCGTCAGCTTCAGCTTCTCCAGCTCGGCCTCCTGCAGCCGCTTGGCCTTGGCCCGGCGGTTCTGGAACCAGATCTTGACCTGCGTCTCGGTGAGGCTCAGGCTGCTAGAGAACTCGGCGCGCTCGGCGATGGACAGGTACTGCTTCTGGCGGAACTTGCGCTCCAGCGCCAGCAGCTGCGCCGTGGTGAAGGGCGTCCGCGGCTTGCGGTTGTTCTTGTGTTTTCGGAGGGTGCAGGGTGGAGGGCTGGGGGCGCCTGGGAGGAAAGAGAAGCACAAAGCGGGCGCTCAGACACGGGCAGTGCGCTCCCCTTTCTCACACTCCCGGCTCCGCACTCCGGCTCCGCGATCGTGGTCCTCGGAGGAGACGATACTCTAAAAGCCACAGGGGTAAGAGAAACAAGGCACCGGGGTCTCGGGCTCCGATCCCCAAATCCGCGGCCTGCACCCCAGGAAGAAGGGGAACTCTGCTCGCTTGGAGGAGCGAGACGCCTGGGCTTGCTGGAGGCCGCCGCCAGAACTGAGCGGCGAGCGCCCAAGCGACGACTCCGAGAAGCGGAAGACGGACCGAGGGACGGGGCGCCAAGAAGGCGCGGGGCCGTGGGGTGCCGACTCCAGCCCAGGGCCAGGCGGAAGCTGGGCTGCGTGGGACACAGAAGCGGTTGCGGGAGTGCGCGCGCCCGAGGGCTCGGGTGGGCTCGGGTGCGCTGGCTTCTTCCTCCGCACTCGGGCCGGGAGGTTAGTGGCTACTTTCCAAAGTTACGAGCGACAGCGCGCCTCCCGCCCTGGTCCTCCGAATCTGGGCCAGACGGGCCCCGGACCGTGCGACAGGGCACTTACGTGGGGAGGAAGCGCGGACGGACGGCGGGAACCAGGCCCGGGGCTCCGCGGCGCGCCGCGGCCTCTCCTCCCGGGGCTCCGTGGGCTCCCGGCCCAGTCCGCGCTGCGCTTCCAGCAGCGATTCCACACTGAAGGGCAGCGGGCCGGGCTCCGCGCGGTCTCCGCCACACGTCCTCAGCCCAGAGGGGTTCATGACGAGCGGCGCAGGAGCCATGCGCGGGCCGGCGGGCGCGGAGCCCGGCGGCGCAACGTGGAGCAGCGCGCCTCGGGACTGCCGGGGGCTTGGCGACCCCGCCCTCCGTGCCCTATAAAAAGGCGTCGCCCCTTTCATGAGCCGCTGTCCAATCGCCGCAGCCGCTTCCGCGTGGACCTAGGCGTCCATTGGCTTTGCTGACGGGGGGCGGAACAGATAGGGAGGGGCCGGACCGCCTGCGCCTCCTGGCACCGTGCACCCCCAACCCTCGCCCTCCTGGCGCGCCCCTGTCCCGCTCCCAGCGCCCAGCGCCCTCTGCCCCAGCGCTGCGGGCCGGAATCGCGCTTCAGCTGTCCAGGAGGCTGCTGGGGCACCTGGGGAGCATGCGGAGCTGGCCCCAGCCCCCACGCCCCGAGGAGCCGACGGCGGGCACGGCCTGGCGGAGTCGCGGTCAGAGCACCCGCCCCGGACCGCGCACGGGTCCTGCACGGCGGAGAATTCGGCGACCTCAGCCGCGCGGCACCGGCGCCTCCCGCAGTGTCGTCCCTCAGCTGCTCTTCCCGCTGCTCCCCAACCCCGAGCCGGCGCGTGCCTGCTTTGGCCCAAGCTTTCTCTCCGTACCGTAGGGGCCGCGCGTCCAGACTGGTTACTGGGCTTCAACGCGTTGAAGTCTAGCCGCGGTGCCTGTGGCCTTGAGGGACTTTTCAGGCATGTGTGGCTGCCGAGCGTCCTCCAGGACAGGGGCCGCCCCTCGCGCCGCCGTGGCGTCCTACCGCCCAGCCCCAGGAGCAGCGTGGGGGGCGTGCAAGGTCAGGGGCCGGGGCCGGAGAAAGGGGCCAGACCTCCTACCCGCCTCCGACGCAGGGTTGGGGACACAGGCGGGGCACCGCTGGCGGAACCTGGCCAGGAGCGCGGAGTCTGTCGCTGGGTGGGGGTGGGGTTCGCCGTCAGTCTCTCCGGCTCCGCAGTCGCTCTGCAGATCGTCGTGGGGCCCTGCCGGGCGGGGCCTCGAACGGCTGCTCCCGGAGGCGCCAGCGCGCACGGGCAGACGCCGGGTTCCCGGCTCGCGCTCTGAGGAGGAGGAGGGGCTGAGGCGCGACACGGAGCTGCGATCCCTCGGATCCTTTCCCCAAAGCTGGTCCAGTCTTTAGTGTAAACTTCCTTGGGTGCTGCAGACAAGCAGCAGTCTCCCTGAGTTTAGGATAAGTCATGAGACTGTTTTGCGTGTAAGGACTGAATGTTTTATTAATATCCCAGAACACAGAAACAGCAACCTAAATCAATTTATATTTATTTTTGAAAACCAAAGTTGCTTTAATGAAATCCAGCCTTGAGGGACAGTTTAGCTGTCCAGCTCAGCCAGAGAAATTCAGTTAGAAAGTTTCTCTCCATGCAAATTTAGAAGCACTGCTGTAGGGGCCCTCAGACCTGCTCCAGGCCAGGCCTGGCGTCTGTGTCTGCAGTGGGATCAGCTCTTTCTGTATTCCAAGATGGATCGCCCCTTTCTAATGTAATAAAGATGTTCCGAGTTGATTGAAGATAATTGCATCATTAAAGCATTTTCTTTGAAGGCCTCTCTCCTGGTAGTTTATCTTCAGCAGGCCACTCACGGGAGTGTTTGAAGAAGAATTTTAATAAGGATGACAGCCAGCTGCCCCAGCCTGCCCCACATCCGCTCAGGACGCTGGGAAGGTGCTGCGGGATGGATGCGTGGGGGCCTGAGCTGTGGCCTGGGGGGGGACGGGGTCGTGTGACCAGGCACGGGTGCTGAGCTTCAGGACAGTCTTGCCCTTCCCTGTGGGCATCTGAACTGGCGATGTCCCTTGAGGCCGAGAGAGGCTAGGCCAGTGCCCATTGGGCCCCTACCTGGCACCGGCGCCAGCAGCGGGCAGAGGAGGGAGGGAGGATCAGGGTGGCGGGGAGAGCCCAAAACCCCAATGGTCAGCACAGACGGTTGCCAGTGCAGCAGCGTCTCCGTCCCCCGCCGGGCCTGGCAGGGAGAGGCCCTAGGTTGGGAGGTTGGCCAGGGGTGGGAGAGGTGCGGAGGGACCCACTGCTGTGGGGCTTTGGGAACAGAAATCCATGTCCCATGTGGAAAAGAAGCTTGGACACTGTCTCTGGCACCAGCAGGCACTTGGCCTCCCAGCAGCCCAGGTGCGCTGTGTGGACAGGAGGCTGGGCACAGCTGGGCCTTCCTGAGGCTGGTAGAAATGCTCAGGCCAGTGCTGCCCATCTCCATCCCACACGAGCCCCCGAAATGATGGCAGAACCCCAACGACTGACCCACGCACCCCACACGTTGGCGGATGCTGTCTCCAGTTTGGGTGGCTTTGTTCCCTTTGTTCCCCCTAATGACCGGCTGGTTGCTCTGCATCTTGAAGGAACAGGAAGCTGAGCAAGGGCCGGGACGAGTCCTGAGTCGGTGCTCCTTGTCGGCGCTGCCCGGTGGGGATGCACATCCCGAGCAGGGCCCCTCTGCGGGCTTGGCGTTCGACGTGGTTCTTGAGAATGGATTTTGTTTTGTGGGATCCAGCCAGCCAGGTTTGGAACTGGTCGGGACTAAGACAGAAATACTCTCTCTCCTTCTCTGCTGGAGGGGAGTGTTTGATGCTGTGTTGGTGACATCCTGGACAGGCCATGCCAGACGGTGCCCTGGCACTGAAGAGGGGATTGTCCCCTTTGGGATGTCGATGATGTATGTCCAGTTCTCCATGGGGAAAAACTGAGCAGACCTTCCCCGCTGTCTAGTGGCCAGTGGTCATCGGCTGTTTGTGCGCTAGGGGACCATCGCCAGCCTGTCGTG